CAACGCCGTACCGTGGGGTGCCATCCTCACGGCATGGGGCCGCCGTACGCGTTCCCTTGGCAGTGATGTGGCCCAGGTCTCTGCAAAGCATTCGAATTTGCCAACTGGTTGTTGCATGGGACCGCCATCTCTGTGCAGTAGGCCTGCCATTCTGGCGCCATCGGAGCGCCAAGATCATCTCCACTGATACAAAAGGTATGGTGCGGGGCTGTGTCGGAGGCAGGCATGGCTACGTAGCCATGGCTACGTACCAGCTTGTATACAAGCTTGGAGACACAGTTAAGGGCAGGCTTGGTTTTTACGTTTACGTTTACGTTTTTACTTTTACCTTTTTACGCGCAAAAACGTAAATTTGGAAAAGGCCCTATTTTTACGGCTATTTTTACGTTTTTGCGGCTCCCTTGGGCGCCCAGATTACGTGATTAAAGTTAAGTACAATGATCAGTCCTCCGCCATATCCAGCACCCGCAACACAGTGTCCACCTCGCCTTTGGCAAGGGCGATGATGATGTTTGACAAATACTCGTTTTCTGCCCCTTCCAGGGCGTCAGACTGCCACTCTCCGGACTCCGTAAGTCTGTATGTACTGTCCTTATGTACACCGGGCAGTTTTTACGTTATATTTACGTATTTTTACGCATTTGTACGCGTAAAAACGTAAATACGATCAGTTTTTACGGCGTAAAAACCAAGCCTGGTTAAGAGGACAGAGTTACAGAGATTGCCAATAGGGACGTCCCTTTACAGTCACCCAACCATCTGTCAATCATGGACCGCTCAAAATCATATCCGCACCCCCTGGATATTCCACTGTCGTTGTCAACAACTGCATCATCGGGAGGCGTCACTGCCCCGTGGGAAGGCCACTCTGGTGCCGTGGCTCCCCCTCGTTGGTGCCATCAAAAGCGCCATCCTCGTCAGCGCCTCCACGACTTTTTTCCACTGTCAATATCGGTAGCTGCATTGTCGAGTGGAATCACTGCAGCAGGGGATCGCCATCGATGTGGCGTAGTCATGCCACACCGACTGAATGGATGACCCGGACGTGAAAGGACATCGTTTTGGGGAAACTCTCTTTAGCTCCGTTGCCACTAGTGCCAGTACTGGCTCGTTACCCGACCGGCATGAGATTAGTCGCTCTGTTTCTTCGGGTGGGCGGTCTTGTTCCGGACACCCTTAGGCCCCAAAAACACTGACGGGCGTTGGCCTTGTCAGCGGAAGAAGAAGGGATTCTCACGGAAAGACAGAAGGAATAGCATATTTTGTCCACCAGGTCAGCTTCCCCAGCGGCCAGCCAACTAACGGCGCATCACCATTCTGGTCCCGCGGAACCGCCACGCTTGCGTCATCAGAGCGCAGGCCGCATCAGCACCTCCGCTGTACTTCTCCATTGTCAAGCAAGCAAGCATTCAATTTTGCATAACAAGGCAACGAGGCAGCTGTTAGCATCATATTTTGCCCGAGCAAGGCAGTGTTATTATCAGCTCATTGAAATCTAATGTGTAACACGAACAAAGCCTTTGATTCATTCAACTGTCCATCCATTTGTTGGGGACTGCATTGCCGAGGGGCATCATTGCAACGCGGGAATGCCATCCCAGTGGCGTTGGAGCGCCATCCTTTTGCCGTCGGAATGCCATCCTCATGGCATCGGAGAGCCATCCTTGTTCCGTGGCAATGCCATGCTTGTGCCATGGGAGCCCCATGCTGGTGCTGTCACTGTGCCCATAGCTTGGGCCTCCCAGGCAGCCAGGTGCCTGGCACGGATGGCACAAGGGCGGCACAACAGAGCCCTGTGGTGATTATTGATGGGCAGAACGGTGGTGTTGCCATGAGTAATTGGCACAGGCGTGGCGTGGAGCTGTCATCTGTGTGCCGTGGCAACGCCATACCTGTGCCATCCCGGTGCCACCATTGCCCGGGCAGTGGCCTGCGCGCAAAACTCTACTAAGTCTGCGGGGCAATGTCCCTCTTTTAGGGCTGACACCCCTGCCCCAAGAAATGTGCGTATATATGAATCTACTGCGTATTTAAAATACGCAAAAAAAATACAAATACATCACCGTACGATTGGCCGCGCACCAAGATGCTACAAATTGCGATAAATGAAAAATATGCTGCATCAATTGATAGACCAGCCGCCATACCACCATATATCGAACTCTTCCCCATCTGTCGCCCAGCCGTATCTGCGATGCGCGCCTCTCTTGTACGATTCGATACTTGCCTCTGCGATGCAATACGATAGTCCAACTGCTGCCCCACCACCATCTGCGATGCGCGTCTCTTTTGACACGGTATGCGCCTCTAAGATCTGACACGATAGGCGCCCCTTTACGACAAGATATGCGCTTCTACGATACGATACGATACATTACGATACGGTACGCGCATTAAAACGTTTACATGCACTTAACGGGACATGTCTCGCCAGCTTGCCAGCCCGCCAGGCGCCTGGAGAGCGCGCGCGAGGCCCCGCCCCGCCTTGCCCAGTAGCCAGGGAGATTCGCCGAGCGACGATCGCTCAGCGTATCTCGCATCATCGGTTCGTGGTTGGATCGGGACCGACGGCGCAGGTGGGCGGCGCGCTGGCGCGCCTTTGCAATGGTGGCGCACCGCCAAAAGAAAATGTGCGGCATCGCAGGGCCGGCGGGCGATGGGGGTGACGCGCGTTACAGGCCTGCGTCGCGGATTTCGCCCCTTGTGTTGCTGCGAGATCGCATGAAACCCGGTGGAACCTTGCCTACAACGCTTGGGCCATTGGGCAATTGCGGCATTGGCTCCCCGCCAAAAAATGAATGACCGCCATCCCGAGGCTGGCAGGCGATGGGCGCGACGCGCGTGGTGCGCGCGGCCAGTGGCGGATGCGGATGTGCGCCGCCGCGCAGGGCGCCCGGTGGAGGCGAGCATGTCAGGTCCAGTTCTGGGATGCCAAGTGCGGTGGAGGGGATCGCCAGCGGATCTTTAAACCGCTCATATCAGCAGCTCTTTTCGGTTCTTTTCGGCTTGTTTAACGGCCCATTTCGGCTATTTTTGGCTCTTTTTAGCTCTCTTTTTGGCTCGTTATTGTTCAGCTGCTCTTTTTGTTTACATTGGGGATGGCAGTCGAGTGTGGATGGCATACACACTTGGCCACTGGAGCGGTTGCAAGTGTTGAAATGCACTCGGCTTCTTCAGTTGCTCTTTTAGCTCCTCTGTGGAGTGGCTGTTGTTGGATTCTCTGGGTCGGAGGGCTCGTTGAGCAGGCAGTTGACTGTGGTGGGCGAGAACGTTCCTGTGTCGTGCAACTGCAACATCCCTGGGATGCCCCGCACAACCGCACAAGCATCTGAGACAAGTGCTATGGAGGCAAAACGTGCTGGGGAAATGTGCTGCTGCTTGGATTATCATCGGCCTTATGCAGTGGAATGGCAGCACTTTGCTGACATTGGGGATTGCAGTGTTGCAATGCGCCAAGTGGCTATGGTCCCTCAGGCACTCTTTTGCATGTCAAAAATTGCACTCTGGCATTGCATTGGGAAGTGGAGAAACAATGACATCTTTCAATCTGCAGAATTGCCATCACAACCTTTGAGCCATGGTCGATTTTTCTTTTTTTTTTGCTGCAGATATGTGCTGTTTTGGGAAGCATGCCTGTGCAGTTTACTTGCATTATCTAGGACTACGCTTGTATGGAGTGAGTACCGATGTTTCAAAAAGTATAAAACCAGGCAAGTGGTGGTATGTGCGTATCCCAAGAAACATGCTGTAGGCAGTGGGCATGCCTATCCTGGCTAACATAGATTTTAATTGCTGAGAATGTGTGGTTTGCAAGGCCTGAGTGTTGCAAGAAAGTAACCAAACTCTGCAAATGAACAATAGTTGACACTTGACATTTGATGCCATTGCGCAGGGCAGTTGCATGTAAATCTTACACAAGCAAGGCTGGCAGCACTTAACATCTGAGCACACCAACACATTGGCTGGAAGTGCCAAGGTCCCCAGAAGTAGCAAAATCTGATGTCAGACAGCCACAGGCAGGTTTGATGGCAATACTGAAATACTGCCTCTGTAGCAAATGCCTGCTTTTCCTGTTACTTGTAGTGTTCCAATTGTACCGCCTTGCCAAGTTGGTGGTTGCTATGTGCATCCCCAAATACCCTTCCGCATTCTCAGCACTGGGTTGCATCTGTGTCGTGGCAGCTTCACAACCAGTAATTGAACTACCCGTGCCAAGTAAGCCATCCCATGCTCATCGATGTCGTGCTTTGTCTGAGCCATGGTCTTTGCACTGTCCTCATTGACACCCCAAATTTTGCTACTATTTCCAATCCTTTTTCCATGGAGCTGTGTGCAATTGGAATGCATGTCCAATGCATGTACAGCAGCCAGATATGTACCCCAATAGCGAGCAGCTATTCACCTTGTCAAACAGCAAGAGTCTGCAATGGCGTTCATGGTGGTAATGCCCCATTTTGCCTAGTTTTGGCATATCTCAGAAACGATGGTGCCATTGTGGCACATGAGGTCTCGATGGTCACCCTTCAATATATAACGCATTGGAGGCAATTCAATCAAAATGTCTGATTTCCCATGTGTTGGCTTCCAGTTTCATTCGAGACAGGCAATTTTTTGTCAGAAAGGCAGCAAATTGCACTGTATGGCATGAAATGCCATGGTAAGAGCTTGAATTGCTTGTGGAAGCAGCAAACGTGCTTCGAGCATCAGCAATCTGAGTTATTGTTGTCATGCGACAGGACAAGCACCAGCAATAATAATTTGATGGGACAAACACCAGTAATAGTAAGATACGTGTGCATGAACATAAACATGTTCCACTGGCAAGTCGCTTTTCTAGCATTGGCATGCATTGACAACGTTGGCCCTGCAATGCCAGCAACTCAATGTGCCAATGTGAGCTGCAGCAGCACTCGTATTATTGTTGGTCATGTCAAGCATTTACAGCACAGAAGAGAGCAAAATGAATACGATCAAAACAGAATCTGGGCCGTTTGTAACAGGTGCCAGCGTGGGGACTGGGCAAGCTTCTCTGTTGACCTTTTGGATAAGATCCACAGTGTCCTGGATGGAAAGCGAGGTGGCGTGTTCGGCAAGTATTTTCTCAAGTCAGCAAGACTGGTGAACAAGCACTGGAGCGGTTGGGCCAACCACGCAACCAAATGTGTGAAGGTTCCCATTCGCAGCCGATTGCGCAGCTTTGCAAGGCTGTGTTCTGGATCCAGGCAACGTCCCAGAGAAATCAGCGACAGTGATGCAGCATGGATGACTTCTGGCTCTGCTGCTCTAAGACATGGCAGAGAGATGTTCTTTGCAAAGTTGGGCATTGTGGACATGCTGAGGGTTGTGGTGGCGAAGTTTGTTGGAGTGGAGCAGCTGACCTTGCCACACAACTTGCAGTACAGCGCTCTTGCTTTGCCCCTCCTGGGAAGTGTGAAACACTTGCGGTACATTGCGCTGAGCGGAGGCAGTTTGAAATTGGGGAGTCTAGCCTGGCTGGGAGCTGTGGAGAGCCTGAGGTGCCTGACCGTTCATCCCACCAGCAGGCAGTCTGAAGCCCTGTGGTGCTATTGGACCATTGTGCAGCTCACCCACTTGCAAGGTTTGGAGCTGTCAGGGCCGGGGTTTTGCTTTGACAATCTGGCCTGGTTGAGGGATGTCACGAGCCTGAAGAAGTTATGTTTGAATTTTGGCTGGCATTCTGACGGTGAAGTTCTTGGATACGTGTCGCACATGACATCCCTGAACGATCTCGCCTTGCATGGCTTTTTGATCGCCGATGAGGACCTTGCACAATTGAGGGCACTGGTGGAACTGACATCACTGACTTTCGAAGACTGCCGCTTTTCGACACCTGATGTGTTGACGTGCTTGAGCACCTTGTGCTTGCTCAGCTCTTTCACTGCCCTGTATTGCAGTAATTTGGACCTAAGGTACTTGAGTGGATTGCCTTCATTGCGCACTCTGCATGTGACACACGACGACTCGAGAGACCCAAGCTGGATAGCAGCAATGACATGCCTCACCTGCTTAAAGGTGGATATGGGAACCACACTTTGGCCACGTCTTGAACAATGGGGTGCGTTGAAGAACCTCAGAGCTCTGGAACTGCTGACTATTGTACCTTGTATGGATTTGAAGCTCGACATCTTGAGAGATCGATTTCCTGCTGCTGAGGTAGTTGAGCGCTCTTGCTGATGATTGGGATAGTCTGGAGATGAAAGGATATGCGGACTTGCAACAAGGAGCTTGAAAGAAATTGCCATGTGCACATTGATGCGCACGTCTTGTAAGTCGAGCGAGCAATAGGCGTCATTATTTTTGGCTGCTTGTGGGCGATTGCAAAGGTAGATGTGATGGTGAAGGTACCCAGGCACCCTGTCACAAGTGTGACTTTTATATAATGCACAAGTAAGCAGTGAATCCGTACATTGGCCACCTTCATATTTGTAGCAGCTGTCTTCGTGTGACAGCCGGGATGGAAGTGCTTGCAATAATGCTCAATAAGGGAAACAGTGCATTCGCAGCTAGAAGCTCTGGTCCAGACCTTTTGCTCAACAAGTCGACTAGCAATGGAAGCGCAATAGACTACTGTCTGTTAAACTTATGCGGTTTGTCTACAGCAGAGATGGGCCAATAAGAATGGAAGGGGGTTGAATGGGAATAGGGGCGGGAACGGAAACAGAAAGTCTCGGTGCTAGTCTATGCCAAGAATAGAAGAATATAATGAGACAATGATTTTGGAATGACCGGCAACATATCCCCGGCCTGATTGGAAGGCTCTAAAAATGTAGCGGTATGCCCACAATTCAGCACATCATGGTGGCAAATCGAACCCTTTCCTGGGAAAAATGTTGTTAGGCTCAAGTGCTTGCAGGTGGCACCGTTCCTGAAAGTGTGTTGTCAGCGCAAACGGAGGGTCAGAGGCGATCACAGACGTCGTGAAACCCTCACATGGCACTCTGCCGACAGGCGACGCTCAATTTAGCTCAATGACGCCGGGAGCTGTCCATTTGCTCAACCGCCGAGCCACCGACGTGGCTGCCCAGCGCTTCCCGCATCCCTTGGCTGCGATTCGTGGCTCACATGGGCGTGTGGATTTTCACTGTCCTCGCAGCGGCAGATGTTGTCAATACTGGTTTTACCAACATTGGTCTCAGGACAAACAGAAGCCTTTGCACCGAACGGGCAGTGTCTGGCAATAGTCCCAGGCACATGGTTGTGTCCCAACCCACAGCTGCAATTATTGTTTGTTCGACAACATGGCCTGCTGGCCCAGCAGTAGATGGTGGCGGCGACAGCGTCACGTGTGCCAATCCCCCCCTGGCCCCCTTCTACAAGGTGGGCACTTCCCCTTCAACCCAACCCAAGGCAGTCACGACGACCAAGTGCGCCCAGTACTGATTGGCCACACACATCAACCGCGCCGCACCTGACAAATCTATCAACCGCCACTCACCAGCCATGACGTCATGATATCCCGTCCGACAACCCCGACTGTGCAGCACAACGCAGCAATGGCCAAACGTGCACCCATCGCGGCGTGGTAGGCATGCCGCGACCATTAATCTAATAAATGCAAAAATACCGCGGCCATTAGTTTGAAAAATGCAAAAACGACGAGGTCGTTAATTTGAAAAACATAAGCAACTAATGTAAGAGCAATAATTTCAAAACTAACGCATCGTTCCTGTGCAATGTTGCGAAGGGACGATGCGTTTGTTTTTGCATTGCTCCGGCGACAAGCACGCGCCTCAAGGGCAATCCCGGAGTCTTGAAGGAAATGGCCGTTGATGCGATTCAAACGGCCCCCTTTGGAGTGCACAGGGGAAGTCCACGATC